CAGGAGAATGCTGTGGGAAGCAGTGTCAAAGGCTTCAAAATCTGTGCCCTCTGCCTCTATAAGATGACCTTGAAAACTCGGAGGCAACCAGCAGGTGCCTGCTTTTCATAGAAACGTACAAATGAAAAGGAAGCAATGTGATGCTCCCTGGCTTTAAAGACGATGTTAAACATACAAGAATAGCGTAACACTGGTGACTTCAGGCTGTCAAGAGTCTACATTGCTCTCTGCAGAGTTTAATTTTGACAGTCATAGTGTAAGCTTCATCTCACAATTATCAGGCAGTTTTCACTGGTGGCCACCAGACGCAGAGTAGTAATAGAATAAAAAAAGCTGACTTTCAGTAGTGGTCTACTATAAATCAAGGCCGCAAAATAAGACAGTCTGCAAAGTGTTACCAGTGGGCAACACAGAAGCATGAATCACAGAATCATCGAGGTTGGAAAAGACCTTCAAGTCCAACCGAAACAAAATGCTATTTGCAGGAATTAATTCAGACTACGATGTCTGTGAACAGTGAAGGTCACAACAGGTGTCAAAAACATAAGTAATTCCCCCAACTTTGCCAATCAAAAATTGCAGTCTGATACATGAGTATGTATGCTTTGTCCTGGATCAATGGCAATGATTATCTACACCCATAGCAACACTGCCTGCTAGTAAAGGCTTTAGGAAGCTAGCACCGAGTTGTAGGGGCTTGATTACAGGGAAGGTTGAACAAGTCTATGATTAGTAAAAAGAAACAGGAATTAAAGAGTAGCAACCCCAGCTAAACACAAGAGGGAAGCTTCCCTGTCCGCACAAATACTTGCCTCCAGTCTTTAGTAAATAAGGCCAACATCAATATTAATGTGATCAGTCATTCAATACTTTTCAATTTTACCTCTTAAATAAGTTTGCCATACTGTGGTCTTGCAGTTGAATGGTTAACTTTACTGTGTGGAACAGGAGGAAAGGGTCAGTGTTTTTCAGAGAGCAGGCAGGAGATATGGCAGCAACAAGGACTAAGGCTCTTGAAATTGCTGACAAATATAGAGCAGTAGTTGATGCCACTGGTAGCCAAATCCTCACATGGAATCTACACCCGAATTCAGTTATGAGAAAGTTGGGTTGCAGGTTTCATTTCCTTCAATCTTGTGCTTCTCATCTCAAGCTTCCCTCTTTGTTTTCTTTTCTTGATCAACCACATCTAGGCTGAAAGTCTGACAGCAGTCATATTTCTCAGGTGGAGTAGCAAGTAGAACACACAACAAAAAGACTGATTACATCATACAGTCAGTGGAGACAGGCCTATGCTACTTAAGGACGCTGGGTTACATATTTTAAAATTTAAATCCAGGTTTCAGCCATTGTGCTAATCCACTTAAGGCTTTAAGTCCTCCAATTTTTTTTCATTGCTTTCTTCTATGACAGAAGGCTCTGTCATATAATATCTCCCTTTATCTGCTTCTTCTCTACTATTGCTCTCCCCAGATACATGTTCCAGCCTTGACAGGATAAACCAACGCAGCTCAAACTTCATTTATATACCTATACTTTTTATATCCACTAAGCGTAAAATAGGACTTCAAATTATATGAAATGGGTAGAAAAACTAAACTAAAATGAATAAATAAAACCATTTCATTCAATATCTCAAGTCTAAGAGAGCAGGCGTTTAAAACTTCAATGCCAAAACCTAAGTCTTAATGCTGAACAGAATACATGAAAAAGTAATTTATCAACCTGTTATGAAATTCTGTGGTAACCTGCTTCCAAGTTCAGTGTATTTTCTTGAAGGAGCTGTAAAACACAAGGTATTTTTCATAATCTGGATTGGTTTATTTTTACGCATTCAGATGGGATATTCAATTAACACATTCAGTCTAAAGGACTATTTTGCCCATGATAAACTCCTTATGTCCTAATATACAATATTCAATACTGTAAAACATTTTGGACAAGGTTGGATTTTTACCCAACTAACCTCCTAGTAAAATTATATAAAAATCATCATATCTGAATTTATCTTTTCATAAAGTTCTGCAGAAGATTTTAATAATACACTTCCTTTCCCCTGTGTTTCACTGATATAACTGCAGAGAAAACTGAATTCTAACACATAGATTTTACTAGGAATACAGTACTAGCATTTTTAACTATGGGTATTCTCATCCCTCCTCACAATTTAGGCAGATGCATCCAATTAATGATGAATCATTCTACATATATTTCCTGTTTAGAACATACTGGCAGTATCAGCATAACAACCTAGAGCTCAAAATGGGGAAAAGAAACTCACTTGGTCACACATTATCACCATTTTTGTTTATAGACCCCAAAAAGGTGTTTTTTAAGGGGTGGGGGGGGTGCAGGTGAGAAATTCTTTACTTCAGATTCCTAGATGAGCTATCATTATGCTATTTTGAAGAAACTACACTATTGTATGCAGACAGAGATGTACACGCTACACACTGTATACAATATGCAACTAGAGATCACTACTAGAATTAAGGAAAATTTGATTTATCATTATCCTAAGCACTACTCAGCATATTTGTAAAATCATGCATGAAGGAAATTGAGGGTATTTTGATCACTAAACACCAGGGCATTTTAAGAGCAGCTGTTCTTCTGTATGATTTTACTCACTGAAAGTTGGGCAACAATTCCACAGGAAGTGCTGAAAAAGATAAGAATGAACTAGACAAACAACCTGGTTCTGTTTATCCACACTGTATCTTCAGAATAACTGAAGAAAAGTGCATCCCAGTGTCTAAGTAAAATACAGTCAGAAGAATATCTGCCTGTATCCTCAAATGGAAAATTTCTTCCAATTTCTAAAATGGAGAGTCCATTCTCATTCTACCTACTTTGTTGATTAATTTTTGCCTTCCCTGAAGAATTCCACCACCCCCATGCCCCCCGCCCCTTTCAGGAATTGTCATATTTTCTGCAGGAGCCTATTGCCCACATACTGCTAGATCAAGCCATAATGTCCTAGTTTCTGATCCCTCCTAGGGAGACCTGTGGAGCTCCAAACTCTGAAAGTTCATAGCCGTTTCAAAGGTGCTTCTGTTATTCCTCAAGTGGTCTCCCCTGGAAGCTCTGCAGTTGAAAAGACTAACGCCATGAAGGAAACTGATCACAGGTAACCCTCTCTTCCTTTATAAAATAATGATTGATAGAAGGGAACAAGTTTTTTCATACATTCAGATATGAACTTTACATTTCAGTGGTCATATCTGAAGTTTGTGAGTTTTTTAAAAAAACAACAGGAAACATTTTTGGTGCCATAGACATGAAAAAGGTTCCCTATAAAAGGTAACAAAATCCAATGGGCCACCAAATGTAATGTTATTTTAAAACAACTGATAATCTCAAAGATTTTTGAGAAGTAGGTTGGTATATAGTTTCATTTCTCTCATCTTGAAATTATTGATCTATCCTCTGAATAGCCTAGTATAAACTTCCACAGCATGTGGCCATTGTTTAAATACTGCCCTGAAAATATTTCGGTTCCCTTTAATTTGCATCACTTTTCATATATTTTACCTTCAGCTTTCAGAGTTAAAGTGCAGTGACAGGAACCTTATAAGCATTTTTAAAGGTATGAAGAGTACAGCCCTATTTGATTTGTGAGAATGGAAAAATCTATGAGCAACAAAGACTACTTTTTTGGCTATCACCTTCTTCCTAGTCTTACAGGGTAATTTTCTGTACAAGCTCATTGTTCTCGACCAGGCACTGTGAAGTGTACACTTAAATGAAACACTCTCCAGTGCGAGGGGGCAACTTGTTTGTCCTCCAGTCTGGCTCACTAATGGTTAAGATTTTAACGCTTTTATCCTTTAACAGATAAATTGCTTTGAATTTTATTATAAGCTTCTTCTCAACGACCATTTTTAAAGGACACAACCAGAAACATTTCAGACCACATAATAAATAAAACCAATACAATAAAGATAACTGGATCTTTCAGAAGTTTGTAAGCACTCCAGGAGACGAGCAGTTGATTTCTTGAAGCTGAGCAGAGAAGTATGAAACGAACTTCAGCTTGCAACAAACTAGGTAGACGTGTAAGAAAGAACATGTCTCATTTTAATATTACTTGAAAAGCCTTGTCAATCCCAGTATTAATAGCAAAGACGAAGATTCTCTAATGGAGGAAAGCCTCAAATCTAAAGTGATCTGGAAGCACCAATTATTTTAAGTGATGACAGTTTTACAGGTCTACACATGCCAGAATGTAGTTGCTATTTTAAAGCACTATAAACAGTCTATTGTAACTGAGTGAAACAAAATTCCATTGATTCTTTAGAAAATAAACTTAAGAAAACTCTTAGAAAAAACAAGAAGAAAGCTTGCTACTAGCTCTAATGATAAACTTATTAGTTTTCACTCTATGCAAAGGAAATGGAACAATATTAAGGTGAATGAATTTAGGTGTAGATCAAAAAAATGGAAGGATTATGCTGCCAGGGAGTGAAGGATTATCATCACTTACCTCCCTCATCCAGAAGCTTCCCACTCAGGGGCTGGGATGTATCTGAAGAGTAACATGTAATGGAAATTTGTAGCATTAAATTAACTGCATCTGATTGGAAGCACCTGATGGAGAAGAGGTGAGAATACCTGCTGTTTTAGAAGTGTGAATAGGATAATCCCCAAATCTGACTTTCTGGTCTTCTGCCCTGCCATTAACTATTAAGGTTAAAATTTGTCTGAACACCGGAAAAAATACTGTAATAATCAGTTACAATAAGCTACTGGAGAGTAGTTTTCCAGACCAATAAAAAGAAAGAAGGCTCAAGTTATGGTTTTTAACTGAAACCATAGCCTCATGACACCAGTAGTCAAATAACCAGGCAATACACTTAGCATCAAAAAGAGATACAAGTTTTCATTGATCAGTACAGTGACACAGCCAAAAAAACCCAAAACAAACCAAAGCACACCTATCATCTCCTCAGTAGACTATTTAAATACGTACGTCAAGGCTACAGAAAACAAAATCTTACCTAGTAAGTGTGTACTCCCTGAGTCCTGAATGCAGGTTCATGGCGGAAAAAGTACCTATGCATCCACGTAATCGTTTATCTCGACCAATCTTCCACGTTACAAACAGTGGGCTGTTTTAGGGAAGAAAAAAAGACATGATCACAGAAGCAATATTGACAGTCAGTGTGAAATTTCAGTGACAGTGCCCTTCCATTTCAGGCAATGGGGGGCCAAATCTCAAAAGTACCTGTATCTGAGCAGGCCATAGTATTTAGAAATGTCCTTTGCAATTCTTTCGACTGTTCTAGAAAGATTGCTCACGTGATATAATAGAAAATAAGACTACTGGAATAGTTAATGGACAGAATGAAACTGCTTGGTAACAGATAGGATATGCTCAGTGTCCCTCACTGTTACTCATTAGCCTTCTCCCGTGAACGGAAAAAGCCTCGCCTTAGACCTCTGTACATAAGGAACTCTTTATAGGGGAGGGGAAAAATACCCCCGTCACACTAGCCACCCCTCCACCTGAACACACGTACTTTGGTCCTTAACACTGCTTGCAAGAAACTACCAGAAATCCTTGGAAGACAAGAAAAGTTAGGAACATTCTCCAAAGAACTGCCTGAGAAAGGATATTTTCTCCGTGGATCTCAAGTTAGTATTTAAGAATCTCAAAAATGACCAGGAGTGGAGCAAAATCTCTAGCAAGTTGAACACGTCTCAGTTATATGGGCGTGATTGATAGTAGAAGTACTTCTTTGTAACTAACAACTGTGTACCAGTCTATACACTAAGCTAACAAGAAGGAGACAAACCATACAGCTTTTTGGGACCAAGGTTTTCCTCGCAGTTCTAGAGCACTGCGTCAATATGGAAGCAAATGGATACCCAGTCCTCTCAACTCTGACAAAGATTTCTAGTCCTGAGATGAACAGGAATGTATAGAGATGAAAAGCATATAAATTTAGTCTTTTTCTAGAAAGGAGACAAAGTAGTTTACACAAACAAGAGTGCATTTTCCCTTACTGTTAGGTTTTAAAAAAATAGCACTTAAAAAAAAGTCATTTCAGTTAAACAACTTGACACAGAGCATTCTTGATCACAAACAGGTTCACATTTCTGCAGAACAAGCAACCTCACTCTGCCCCCCAACTGCAGAGCACCTCCCCCTTAAATCCTGAAGTAAATCTGGTGTTAAATTTTTGTGGAAAAGCATAGGCCATTCAGGCATAAATATATCTAATTCTTGATATGAAGACTACAGCCACGCTGCAGGAAAGCCGACAGGAGCAAGGTGCATCGCTGACATTCAGAGCCCCAGTGAGCACCGCAAGCGCATTTAAGGATGCGCAACTGATTCTCTCCAACGCTATTTCATCAGGCACTGCTCTTCACTGTTATACACATGTACAAACCATCATGCTGGATTCATCTTGGGGTTTTTTTATAGCTGTTTCCTACACAGTGTCCTTAGTATATAGTCCATTGCTATGGAGATCAAGAAGTAACCTTCCTCAGGTTAGCATCTGAGAAGCAGGAGATTACAAACCGACCATAATTACCAGATGTGTTCCCTTAAGGAGGGGAGCAGATCCACAAGCATAGGTACAGTCAAAAGTTCACAAAAGGTCAAGTTGACTGCACCAAAAAATAAGAATCTTCTTCTGTTACTGCTACCAGCTGGAAATAACAAGCAGATTTACAACAGTGTGCTGTAAGGTTAACTGCTGCACTGCAAGACCACCTTTGATATCTGTGTCTTGTCTGACTCCTCATCTGAGGAATCGGTAAAAATACAGTCTGCAAGTTCCTTTGTATTTTGTGAAACAGAACCTGCCTTTCTAGCTATGCTGAGATTCTTAAAATATACTAAGGCTAAGAGCTTTATTATATGAGCAGATCCGTCATTGCACAACTGCATGAATCGCTACACAGTGTAAGAGATGGATGTAACCGTACTTGGGGTATAGGTATGTGTGTGGTTTTGGACTCTCAAGGAATAGCCCATATTCTTTTTCTCTTTCCATCCCATTTTCTTTGTCTGGTGTGGCACAAGATACTCATCACGTGCTGGCAGAAAAGGGTATGCCTCTCAGTCTCTACTGCACCAAGGCAGCAGCATCCAGTCCTCTCATAACTTTCCAAAACCTGTTGTTATCGCCTGCTGGTAGAGCAACTTCCTCCTTATTTGATTAAACTGGACAAGTTCCCTTCTTTCAATGATGATGAATAGAAAAGGAAGCTGAAGTCATATCTTTTGGATTTGGATTTCCTTTTACTTCTTTTTGCCTTCCCCCCCCCCAAGTTGTTGGATAAAAACTGAAGAGCATAAAGGACTACTACCTAACATTTATTCTCCATTCAGATCAACGAGTGGCATTTTACTAACATTTTCAAGAAAAGTATCCTGGCACCCCTAAATGCTATCAACCAAATTATTAGATTGCAATGGCACTGAAGACACTCTCTCCCCTTGCACAGAAGCATGCCTGAATCAAATTCAAATTGGACTTTAGGATTATTCTTTTGACCTTTGTCTTTGGATTATGAGATTTATTAGCTCTAATACACTTAGTGGAGGACTATTATTCAGGGAAACATATATGCATTTACTTTCTTGTCAAAACCGAATTCCTTCTAGGATGCATCGTTACTGCTACTTCAAATGGACAACAGAAGAAAACGTCCAGAGACCATCACTGAATGTCAAATAGATTACTGAAACATTTGCATGTGCTTTGAAGGTCCTTGTCAATGAGTACCAACAGGAAAAGTAAAGGTTATATACATATATTTTTGTACTAGTGGTAGTAGTAGTATAACCATACCAATTGGACTAAACGTAAACCTCTATCCATTGGGTAAATGAACCACCACTGGCAGCTATACATCACCAAATCTGACTACAGGTGTTTCTCTAACCTCTCAACTTTTGTATTCCCCAACACTTGCCTTCCTGTTCCTCAGTAGC